CAGAGGCTTTGCTGAGCTACTGTAGGCTCCGCCCAGCTGCTGTGTGAACTTCCCTGCAGCCCTGTTTATATGGGTGTAGTTAGAACTGTCTCAGCATTGGTGGCCCACCTCTGTAATGGCGGACTCTCACTGGAATGGCAGGTTGCCTTGGCAACGGCGGATTGCCTCAGCAGTGGCGGGCTTCCTCAGCAACGGTGGACTACCTCCATAGTGGTAGAGTGCCTCGGCAATTGCCGACGCCTCTTCCCAGAGCTGGGCCATCCCGGGCTCAGCTGTGCTTGCTGTGAAATTCTCAATCCAAAGAGTTTCTGATTGCTGTTCTTTTGTGGGGGTGGGACTAGCCGAGCCTGATCACTTGGCTCCCTGCCTCAGAACCTTTTGTTTTTTAGTTGAACAGCCGACTCTCTCCCAGGTGTTCTAGTTGCCTGCTGAAAATGTGCCAGGATCTGTGTGCTTTCCCATGTGGTGACTCACTGTGCCAGCTTAAACAGTGGTGCTGAGATTCATGGGGCTTTTTTTCTTTTGTCTGGGAATCTCCTGGCCTGGCTCCCTGTTTCAGACCCCTTTTTAGTCAGATGAATGGGCGACTGCGCCTTCCCGGGCTCCAATCACCAGCTAAAAGGGCACCCGGACCAGTGTATTTTGTATGGAGAACTGCTGTGCTGAGGTGCTGCAAAGCAGCCGCATGAGCCAAAACAGCCACGGGGACCAAAATGGCCGCACCAGCCAAAACAGTCACACTGGCAACCTGTGGAGCTCCTCCGCCAGAGAATCTCCTGGTCTGTGGGCAATAAATATCTGTCTGGAAATGTGGCATCCAATCACCCTCTGCACTTTCACTAGGAGCTGCAATTCTGAGCTGTTCCTAAATGACCATCTTGGATCTGGATCCCGATTTTATACTTCTTTATAATTCAGTTTTGGTAAGTATTATGTTCAGAAATTAATCCATTTATTCTAAGCTATCTGATTAGTTGATGTATATTTTTTCAGTGGCCACTTATAATGTTTTGTATTCATGTGGTATCAGTTCTAATGTTACCCATTTCATTTCTGATTTTATCTATTTGAGTCTTTTTTTTTTGTTTTCCTAGTTAGTCTAGGTAAGGGCTTATCAATTTTGTCTATCTTTTCAAAAAGTAACCTAGTTTCTTTGATGTTTTCTATTGTTTAGTCTCTAATTTATTTCTGCTTTGATAGTTATTATTTTTCTTTCTTTTAAAAACTTCAGGCTTCGTTTTTTTTAATAGTTCTTTTAAGTACAAGTTTAGATTATTTATTTGAGATCTTTATTCTTTATGATGTATGTGCTTATTGCAATAAACTTTCTTTTAGAACTCCTTTTGCTGCTTCTCATATATTGTATTTCTCTTTTTGTTTTCCATATGTTTACATTTATTTTTCAAATTATTTCACTGATTATTAAAGAGCATTTTCAGGAACAGAGACTACTATGAACAATTACATTAACATATTAAATCACATTCAATAGATTCTTAGATGCATGAAAACTATCAAGATTGAATTACAAAAAAATTTAAAAGCTGAACAGATCAATAATAAGTAGGAAGATTTAATCAGTAATAAAAAATATCCCATCAACAAAAAAACCCTGGACCTGATGGCTTCTACCAAATTAGATACAGAAGTATTTTGCCATAATAAAGGCCATATATGACAAGCTCACGGCTAAAATCATAGTCAATAATAAAAAGTTGAAAACCTTTCCTCTAAAATCAGAAAAAGACAATGATGTCCACTCTCACCACTTGCATTTAATATTGAATTGGAATTACAAGCCAGGGCAATTAGTCAAGAAAAAAAATAAATAAAAGTTATCCTAACCAGAAAGGAAGGAGTTAAATAGTCTCTCTCTGCAAATGACAGGATCTTATGTATAGAAGACCCAAAAGATTCCATCAACAAAATGATTAGAACACACAAATGCAATATAGTTATAGGATACAAAATCAACACATAAATATTAGTTGTGCTTGTAAACACTAATCATTAACTACCTGTAAATAAATTAGAAAAAAAAATCCATTTACAATAGCACCAATAAAAATAAAATATTAGGGATAAACTTAACTAAGAAGATAAAAGACTTGAACACTGAAAACTGAAAAATATTACTGAAAGAGTTAACATATACAAATGAAAAGACATTCCATCTTCATGTATTAAATGAATTAATATTGTTAAAATGTCTATACAACCCAAAATAATCTACAGATTTAGTTCAATCCTTATCAAAATTCTGATGACACTGCTCACAGAAATAGAAAATTCTGAAATTTATATGAAATTACAAAAGACCCTTCATTGCCAAAGTGATCTTAAGAGAGAGGAACTAAGTAAGGGAAATCATACTTCCTGAATGTAAAATATATTACATAGTTACAGTGAGTAAAACAAATGATAATAACACAGAGACAGACACATAGATGAATAAAACAGACCACAGAGCCCAGAACTATCTACACATGTATTGCCAATTGATCTTTGACAAGGGTAGCAAGAAGACACAATGGGGAAAGTTTAGTCTCTTCAACACATGGTGCTGGGAAAGCTGGATATCCACATATAAAATAAATTAGACTCTTGTCATACACTCTACACAAACATAAATTCAGAATAGATTAAAGACATATGTAATACTTAAAATTATTACACTCCTAGAAGAAAATACAGGGAAAAAAGTTTATTGACATTGGTACAGGCAATGATTTCATGGATAACACACCAAAGCACAGGCATCAAAGAGAAAAATAAAGTGGGACTATACAAAACTACAAATTTTTTGTACAGAAAAGGTAACAATAAATGGACTGTAAAGGCAACATACAGAATTGGAGAAAAATAATTGCAAACCTTATACCTAATGAGAAATTAATATCAAAATATATAAGAAACTCCTACAACTCAATAGCAAGAATAAATAAATCAATACATAATTTGAAAGTGGGCAAAGGACTTGAATAGATATTTCTCCTAAGAAGAACAAGAAATGGGCAACAGGTATATTTGGATATGCTCCACACCACTAAAGTTCTTTGAAACCAAAGAGAACAAAGATGCAACAGACCAGAATCTCTGGGATACAACTAAACACTGTTAACAGGGAAGGTTATGGCACTAAATGCCAATGGGAGAAAGCAGTAAAGATCTAAAATCCACACCCTAACATCACAATTAAAAGAACTAGAGAAGCAAGAGCAAAGAAATTCAGAGCTAGAAGACAAGAAATAACTAAGATCAGAGCAGAACTGAAGGAGATAGAGACACACAAAAAAACCTTTAAAAAAATCAATGAATACAGGAGCAGGTTTTTTTTTGAAAAGATTAATAAAATAGACTGCTAACCAGACTATTAAAGGAGAATGGAGAGAAAAATTAAATAGACACAATAAAAAATGTCAAAGGGGATATCACCACTGATCTCACAAAAATAGAAACTACCATCACAGAATACTATAAATACCTCTATGCAAATAAACTAGAAAATCTAGAAGAAATGGATAAATTTCTGGACACATACACCCTCCCAAGACTAAAGCAGGAAAAAGTTGAATCCCAGAATAGACCAATAAGAACTTCTGAAAATGAGGCAGTAATTAATAGCTCACCAATCAAAAAGAAAGCCTATGACCAGACAGATTCATAGCTGAATTCTACCAGAGGTACAAGGATTAGCTGGTACCATTCCTTCTGAAACTATTCCAAACAATAGAAAAACAGAAACTCCCTTCTAACTCATTTTATGAGGCTACCATCATCCTGATAACAAAACCTGGCAGAAACAAAACAAAAAAAAGAAAACTTCAGACCAATATCCCTGCTGGACATTAATGTGAATATACTCAATAAAATACTGGCAAACCAAATCTAGCAGCACATCAAAAAGCTTATCTACCACAATCAAGTCAGCTTCATCCCTGAAATGCAAGGCTGGTTCAACATATGCAAATCAATAAACGCAATCCATCACATAAACAGAACCAATGACAAAAAACACATGATTACCTCAATAGATGCAGAAAAGGCCTTTGATAAAATTAAACACCACTTCATGCTAAAAACCCTCAATAGCTAGATATTGATGGAAGGTATCTCAAAATACTAAGAGCTATTTATGACAAACCCATAGCCAAAATCATACTGAATGAGCAAAAGCTGGAAGCATTCTTTTTGAAAACTGGGACAAGACAAGGATGCCCTCTCTCACCACTCCTATTCAACATAGTATTGGAAGTTCTGGTCAGGGCAATCAGGCAAGAGAAAGAAATAAAGAGTATTCGAACAGAAACAGAAGGAGTTAAATTATCTCTGTTTGCAGATGACATTGAATATTTAGAAAGCCCCATCATCTCAGCCCAAAATCTCCTTAAGCAGATAAGCAACTTCAACGAAGTCTCAGAATACAAAATCAATGTGCAAAAATCACAAGTATTCCTGTACACAAATAATAATAGACAAACAGAGAGCCAAATCATGAGAGAACTCTCATTTACATTTGCTACAGAAAGAATAAATTACCTAGGAATACAATTTACAAGGGATGTGAAGAACCTCTTCAAGAAGAACTACAAGGCGCTGCTCGAGAAAAAAAGAGAGAACACAAACAAATGAAAACACACTCCATGCTCATGGAGAGAAGAATCAGTATCATAAAAATGGCCATACTGCCCAAATTAATTTACAAATTCAATGCTATCCCTATTAAGCTACCATTGACTTTCATCACATAATTTAAAAAAGCTACTTTAAATTTTATTTGGGAACAAAAAAGTGCCCATATAGCCAAGACAATTTTAAGCAAAAAGAACAAAGCTGGAGGCATTGCACTACCTAACTTCAAACTATACAACAAAGCTACACTAACCGAAACAGCATGTTACTGGTACCAAAACAGATATATAGACCAATGAAACAGAACAGAGGCCTCAGAAATAATGCCACACATCTACAACCATCTGATCTTTGAAAACCCTGACAAAAACAAACAATCGGGAAAGGATTTCATATTTAATAAATAGCATTGGGAAAACTGGCTAGCCATATACAAAAACCTCAAACTAGATCCCTTCCCAACACCTTATACAAAAAGGAACTCAAGGTGGATTAAAGACTTAAACATAAGACCTAAAACCATAAAAATCCTAGAAGAAAACCTCAACAATACCATTCAGGACATAGGCATAGGCAAAGACTTCATGATGAAAACATCAAAAGCAATGGCAACAAAAGCCAAAATAGACAAATGGAATCTGATTAAACTAAAGGACTTCTGCACAGCAAAAGAAACCATCATCAGAGTGAACTGTCAACTTACAGAATGAGAGAAAATTTTTGCAATCTATCTATCTGACAAAGGGCTAATATTCAGAATCTACAAAGAAAGTAAACAAATTTCAAGACTAAAACAAACAATATCATCAAAAAGTGGGCAAAGCTGGAGGCATTGCACTACCTGACTTCAAACTATATCACAAAGCTACAGTAACCAAAACAGATATATAGACCAATGAAACAGAAGAGAGGCCTTGGAAATAATGCCAAACATCTACAACCATCTGATCTTTGAAAAACTTGACAAAAACAAATATGAACACACGCTTCTCAAAAGAAGACATTCATGTAGTCAACAAACATGAAAAAAGCTCATCATCACTGGTCATTACAGAAATGCAAATCAAAATCACAATCAGTTACCATCTCACGCCAGTTAGAATGATGATCAATAAAAAGTGGGGAAACAACAGGTGCTGAAAAGGATGTGGAGAAATAGGAATGCTTTTACACTGATGGTGGGAGTGTAAATTAGTTCATCCATTGTGGAAGACACTGTGGTGATTCCTCAAGGATCTAGAGCTAGAAATACCATTTGACCCAGCAATCCTAGTACTGGGTATATACCCAAAGAATTATAAAATCATTCTATTATAAAGACACATGCACACGTATGTTTACTGCAGCACTGTTCACAATAGCAAAGACTTGGAACCAATCCAAATGTCCATCAGTGATAGATTGGATAAAGAAAATGTGGCACATATACACCATGGAATACTGTGCAGCCATTAAAAAGGATGAGTTTGTGTCCTCTGCAGGGACATGGATGAAGCTGAAAACCATCATTCTCAGCAAACTAACACAGGAACAGAAAACCAAACACCACATGTTCTCACTCATAAATGGGAGTTGAATAATGAGAATACATAGACACAGGGATGGGAACATCATACACTGGAGCTGTCAGAGTTGGAGGGCTAGGAGAAGAATAGCATTAGAAGAAATATCTAATGTTGGGGACAGTTTGATGCATGCAGCAATCCACCATGGCACATGTATACCTATGTAGGAAACTTTCATGTTCTGCACATGTATCCCAGAACTTAAAGTATAATTTAAAAATTAAATAAACAGATACAAATAAAAATCACAGCAAGATATCACCTCACACCTGTTAGGATAGATATTATCAAAAAATAACAAATAACAAGTCTCAGCAAACCCTTGTACACCACTGGTGAGAAAGACAAATGGTGCAGCAACTTTAAAAAAAAAACAGTACTGAGGTTCTCCCCAAATTAAAAATAGAACTGCCATATATTCTAAAGATCATATGGCAATTATAAGCTACTGATATCTGCACCTGGAAGAGGTATATGCATTCCTATGTTGACTGCAGCATTATTTACAATGGCCAAGATAAGAAGATAATCCAAATGCCCATAAATGTATGAATGGATAAAGAAAATATGGTATACATACAATGTAATATTATTCAGCCTAATAGAAGTAAATCCTGCCCTTGCTAGCAACATGAATAAACTTTGAGAACATTATGCTAAGTTAAATAAGCCAGTTGCATAAAGACAAATACTTTAGGACCCCACTTATATAAGGAATGTAAAATAGGTAGACTCATTGAAGCAGAGGTACAGTGGCAGTTGGTTGCCATGGGTTATGGGAGATGGAATGGGAAGTTTCTGTTCAATAGGTATAAAATTTAGGTTATATAAGATAAATAAATTCTAGATATCTGCTGGACAACATTGTCCTATAGTTAACAATACTGTATTGTGCACTTAAAAATTTGTCAAGACAGTAGATCTCATGTTAAGACTTTTTATCACAATAAATGATTATTTGGCTTAATTTTTTAAAGACAAACATTCTATAGCAGAGAAATATTTTCAGTATTTTATTAGGATTCCATTATCATTGTGATCCCAGTACTGCTGTGAAAGACCACACTCAATAAAAAGAAGATAAAACTATTTTTCAATTAATTTAGCAAATAAAATGGCTTTACAGAAACAACATCATTTGTAGCCTCTTTCATCAGATTTTGCATGTTGCTATGGACTAATTTTAAAAAGTGCTCTCTCTCGTGTTTTGTGAGGAAAACTTGATATTTACTAGTGAGCTTATCTCTGAGAAGAGTGCTCACTTGTGTCCTGTCCAAACGTATATAAAGTAGCAGTTCAGAGCTCTAAAATCTCTTAATTCTGGTCTGCCTCCTTAGGCAAGGGGCAAGGGGCAAATAGCAGGATATAGTTCTGCTTCTTGCTTTCTTCCATTAGAGTTATATGATGGAAGATTTAGTTTGACCTTTTTTTTTTTTTTTTTTTTTTTTTTTTTTTTTTTTTTTTTTTCTTTTCTTTTCTTTTTTTTGGAGAGAAGCAGAAAGAACAGACTTAGTGGCTTTATTCAGTTTCCTGCAGCCAAAGCAACCACATGTCATGAATGTGTGCTACTTGGGCTCACTAGAGTTCTTCAGGAAGACAAAGTCATCAGAGATATAACACAAACACAACACTTACCTAGTGGTATTATAGAATTATAACATTACATATAGAGAGATAGACAGCTAGACATATATATAATTCATACACACACACACACACACACACACACACACACACACAGACATATATTTGTAAAGAGTAGTATAAGGAAATTTAAGGATTATTTATTGGAAATCCATAATTTTATAGAGTATTATGGACTGAATGTTTATCTCTCCCAAAAAAATTCATATGTTGAAATTCTACTTCCCAATGTGATGGTATTTAGTGGTGAGGCCTTTGTGAGATGATTAGGGCAGAAGTCTTATATATGGGATTAGAGTCTAATAAAAGAGACCCTCAAAAATCTCTCTCACTCCTTCTAGCATGTGAGGACACAGACAGAAGGCAGTCTGCAACCGGGAAGAGGACCCTCAGCAGAACCTGGCCATGATGACATTCTGAACTTGCACTTTCAGCCTCCAAAACTATAAGAAGTAAATTTCTGTTGCTTATAAGCCACCCAGTTTATAGCATTTTTAATAGCAGCCCACATGGACTAAGACACAGGGAATCATAGATTCATAGGTACTAAGTCTTACCAGTTGTTGGTAAGACGGCAACTCCAAGATTAGGTTGTCTTTTCCAAGATATGAATGTTTGAATTCAAATGTATTTATATAAAATTTCTGAATAGTTTGATTTGCATATCCCAATTCAGGGACAACCTATGTACATTGCCAATAGCCTTATTTCAAGTTATGCTGAGAATTTACAAATTTTGGTCACCAGTGCTTCACATTGAGGCAGTGATGATCTATCTATTTGCACATAATTTTACACACTGCACATGTATGCACCGGTTGTGAAATATATTCTTTCATTCATTCGTATACTAAATGCACATTTATTTTGAGTACCTGCTTTGTGCAAAGAAAAAAGATACATATAATACAGAACCAAGAAACTTTCCAACACTGGGTCTTTATAGTTTAGAGAGAAAAACAGTATTTTTCCAATCACATCCATTTTTATGCTATGACAACTCTTCTTCTTGTACTATGTCATCAAGATCTCTGCACTTTATATTTTCAAAGAAGCTTATTGCAAGCAATATTTTACATTTATATTTTGTATTTTCTATCAAGTCACTTTCCAAACTACACACATATATCATCACTGTTGGTAACTAACTCATGGGATAGAAAATACACAGATGTAATACTTTTGTCCAACACACAAAAAGATTAGATAGAAAACAGAATGATAGGTCATCTAGAAAACAAAACAATATGTAACAAAACAAACACTAACTCTTGTCTTCTTTTAAACAAACCACCCTAGGAGACTTTTTACCTACAGAGAGAATTCAAAAAATTAAATCATTTAGCATGATTTTTAAAAATACCTCATTTAAACAGAACTGAAAAAAAATTGACATCCCAAAATCCATACAAAGAATCGACAAAACCAAAAATTGTTTCTTTGAAAAGCTAAAGAAGATTGATAGGCCACAAGCAAGATTAACAAAGAAAAAAAAAAAAGAAAGGACCTAAATAAGTGCAATCAGAAATGACAACAGGAACACTGCAACTAATCCCACTGAAATATAAAAGTTTCTTGAAGACTATTATGAATATCTCTATGGACACAAATTTGAAAACCTAGAAAAAATGGATAAATTCCTGGAAACAGGCAACTTCCCAAGGTTGTATCAGAAGGAAACTGAAACCCTGAACAGATTCAAGTTCTAAAACTGAATTGGTAGTAAGCCTGCCAACCAAACAGCCTTGAACTACATAAATTCAAAGCCAAATTTTACCACATGTACAAAGAGCTGGTACTAATTCTACTGAAACTATTTCAAAAAATAGAGGAGAAGATTTTTCTTCCTAACTCATTCTGTGAAGCCAGCATCACCCTAATACCAAAACCTGGCAAAAATACAATAAAAAAGAAAGTGATGGGCCAATATCCTTGATGAACACAGATGCAAAAATACTCTACTAGAAATACTGCAAACTGAATCCAGCAGCATATGAAAAAAAATTAATTAATTGATAAGAGGGAATTAATTAAACTAAACAGCTTCTACACAGCAAAATAAACTATTAATAGAATAAAAAGACAACCAACAGAATAGGAAAAAATATTTATAAACTACGTATCCAGGAAAGGTCTAATATCCAGAATCTATAGTTAAAAATAACTCAACAATCAAAAAGAAATAACCGTATTAAAAAGTGGGCAGAAAACATAAATGAACACTTCTGAAAAGAAGAAAAATAAGTAACCAATTTGAAAAAATGACGAATATCACTAATCATCAGAGAAACA